GTCGTTTCATCGGCGAACAAGTGCGCGAGCGCGCGATACGGAGCCGCGAGACGCCGTTACGCGCGCGCCCGTCCCGATGGCCTCCTCCGGCGGAATAATCATGTGCGCGGAAACACCTCCTCCGGAGCGGAGCGAATCCGGGAGGAGGCCGGCGAGCTTCAAATGGTTATGACGCACGTGTACGAGCAGCAAACATTTCCTCGGCGATCCGCAAAGTCGCAAAGTAGAGAAGCGTGTAGCGCTTCCTCGCGTGCCACGACGACGTCGCGCGTGTTAATGGGCCGGTAATTTTCGGTTCGATTCTCAAGCGGCTCGCATTTTTTATTGCGCCCCGGCCGGCGGCTTCATCGGCGCACGCCAATTCGTCTTATCGCCAATTTGAATTCTAGCCTCGCGAGAGGAAGGAGGGCAGGCGGAGGAGAGAGACTGTACGGATAATTCGCGTGTATGGATTTCTAAACATTGAGCGCCCCATGGAAGGCTGCGAAGCTTGCTTGAGAAAAGGACGGTCTGCGCCGCAGGCATTCCCCGAGTAGAAAAATTAATGGGGCTCTGGTAAGGGCCTGATTATTTTTCCCTAACATTAATCGGGCCCCATTAATCGCATTTTAAAACGAAGGCAATACTAGAGAAATCCTTGAAAGAGACTAATGAATATGGCAACTAATAAAACTAATAAAATTCGTTTTTCGTTGCGGTATAATTAAAAAATCTTTAAAAGGTCGTAGTAGGGATAGAAAGACAAGGGCCCTACAAGATGTGTAACAAATTATTTAACGGGTTATTATAAGGCAATATTATGACGGCCTTATGAGGAAATATTCTAATTATTGTTTGAGTAAAAATATTCGTTCTTTTCATTCCAAGAAATTTAGACTGTAATTTCTTTGTGACCTTGTTAATATACAAGGATTTTTTAAGTTAAAAATATAGCATACTTTACAATAAAATATAGTATTCTTTACACATAAAAATCCTGCTACTGTTTTCATTAAAGTTTTTTAAAGTTTGCCGTTAATATTTTTATTAAAGTTTGCCGCATTTTAAGACGAGGGTAATACTAGAAAAATCCTTGAAAGGGACTAATAAATATGGCAACTAATAAAACTAATAAAATTCGTTTTTATTTTAATTGCGGTATAATTAAAAAGATCTTTAAAAGAACCAGATAGAGCGTACCTACTAAAGCAATACTAAACTATGACAATTTTACTACACACTTCAGATCTTATTAATTTTCTATAACAAAACTTGATTTTGTATATCTAAAGCATCCTTAAAAGATCCTTCCAAGGCCCACATCAGTTTTCCATGTTAAAACGTTATTTCGCAAAATCTAAGGCATTCCTAATAAATCCTTTTAAGGCCTTTCTCAACTCTCCCTATCAAGGCCTTATTTATTAAATCTAAGGTGTCCCAAAAAAATCCTTCTAAGATTCTTCTCAGTTTTCTTTATCAAAGCCTTACTTCGTAAAATCTAAGATATTCCTAAAAGATCCATCTCGGAACCTGATGTGGTAATAACAAGACCTCCCTTTTCAGGGCATCCTACCTTCAGCCTTATCGGGGCCTTCATGCTTCATGCTTCATGAGGATGGTCCTAACAATTTTTTGCTCGGATCGTTCTCTGTCTAGTTTCGTTCCTATTGAAGACAGCTGGACAAAGACAGCACGCTTGCGGATAATGAAAGCGCGATACAATTGCCCTCCGCATTTCATCTCTCAAGCTCCCGCGCGAGAAAACGCGCTCTGCGTCCGGAAAGCCGCGTTTGCCACGGTCTTAATTCCCGCGATTCTCGCGCGAGATGACCTTATTCGATCACTCGCTCGAGCAAGCCCGAATGATCGCTGACCGACTCGGACCGGCCGGACCTCGAATGTCATGAAATCAAGCGGATCTAACGTGATCGACGCGTTCTCGGCCATCGTCGTTTGATCTCGCGCGAAGACGCTCGCGTTCGCTGCTTTCCTCGGCTGCTCGCTCAGGCTTATTCTCCCGGATTTATTCGCGTGCTCAGAGTCTCGCTCGACGTTCGCCGATGATCGCGAGAGGATTCAGCGTCGGATTCAGTATCAAGACGGCGGCGGCGGTGGCGCGCGCGAGTATGACAAAGCGGAATGCCAGTTGGCAGTGCGGAATCGGAGAAGACAATCTCACGCGCGTAATTAACGACACAAGTTAGCCCCGCTCGCGCGCGTCGCGCGTTACAAAACAAGCGCATTTCGTCGCGAGATTCGCCGGCTCGCTAACGATCGGTCGGGATTCCCGCGCGCCCTCGTCGATGATCCATTCGACCCGCGGCGGATTACCGTCGGCTGCGCGTCGCGCTTTCAACGCGTCACCGTAAGCGCGCGTAATGAAGCGCGCGCGCAACGTGGCAAGATTGATTTGACGGATATGACGACGCGCGGGCGCGCGACGCGTTTTATTAAAAGCGGCTCGCGCGCGGCCGCGAGCGCGCCGCGTTTCCCGTCCCGTTTCGCGAGTACGCTCGCGCATTACGGTTAATGTAGCTTTAACGTTCTCGCGTTTACGCTCGTGCGTGTGCACGCGCGTGTCTAAGAGGCGCGCGCCTCCTCTCGGTCATTTGTCATCGCGCGGCCGAAAGTGTGTCTCTCTCTCTCTCTCTCTCTCGAAAGATCGCCTCGTTAATGGCAGCCGTTAGGTGTTACTTATCCGCGATGTGTCGCTCGGAAGAGCGGCATTCACGCGGATTGCACGCGTCGAGAGAGGCGGGTTTTGTGGGATTAACAGAAAATGCGCGTTTTTCCCCTTGATACGTCACCTATCAAAAAGTGGATTCGCGTCAGCGAAGGATCCGCGGCTCCCTCACAAGCCGAAGCGAGCTGCGAAGCGTTAAGCAGATAAGTCGTATTGACTCGACGATTTCCTCGTATTATGATAATTCCGTAATCCATAATTTATACGTACAGCCACGCGCCGAGCCGCGATCCGAGGTGGAATTACGCCGGCGGTTTATGCGCGATGATTTCGCGCGCGACATCGACAAGATTCGCGCATTACTCCGCGGAGATAATCCATCGCCGAGACGATGATGACGAATGGCGGACGAGCGCGGATTCCATAACGAGAGAGATATTCTCACGAGGACGGGATGACGACGGCGGCGGCGATGGTCGATTAATCGCATTCGCAATTCGCGCCGGCAATCGCTCCTAATTTCCACGTCGCGCGAATATGTGCGATCACGTGCGATCGCGTGTTCGCGCGCGCGCGCGCGAGGATTGCCGTGGAAAATTCCAGGAAAAATAACGCGAGCTCGACGGGCCGCCGGGTCGATGGATCGGATCGCGGGCGCTCGTTTCGCCGAGCGCGGGGAGGAAGGATTTCGTTTTTCCAGGCGCGTTCGTCACCGGCGTGAGTCTCGGAAAAATTGCGTCTCGATCGCCAATCCGGCCCCGGTGGCGGCACCGCGATTCCTCAAGAGAGTCTCTCTCTCTCTCTCTCTCTCTCTCTCTCCCTCGCTTTTCTACTCCACTCCATCTCCCCCTCGCCGCGAACGCCGCGCTGGCAAGAATAACGACGGCGGCGGATGAATGGCGGCGCCGAGAGGTCGCGACCTCCAACTCCTGCATTAACCGTCGTCGTCGCGCCACAAAAGCGCACGTCCCGTCGGCCTTCGGCGTGTGGCCCGGGATGGCGGGCGGACCCGGCCTCCGCTTCGCGGTGAGGACGGCGCGCGTGGCGAAAACTAGCTTCGTTCCGCTCGGCAAACTAGTTTCGCGAGAGCGAGAGCGCCGCGGCGTGGCGAGAGAGCGAATGCATATTGTCGCGCTTAATAACTTGTGCATAATTCACGGACGAGACGTCGTCGATGGCGCGGAAATGCAGCCGTAGTCGTGTCCCCTCCCTCCCCCCTCCGCCCCCGCATCCTACGAAGCGGGAGGAGGCGTCGTGTCGGGCGTACAGAGAAAGCCCCGAAAGTCGCGCTTTCGCGGACGCCGCGCGACAACGTAACGCCCGGTCATAAATTAACCTAAACCGCGGTTTCGGAGATCGCGAGTTTGTAATTCGAGTTACGGGGACGCTTTGCATTTTAACTACGAGCTAGGCGGCCGGCCGCTCGCAGCCATCACGGTCGAGGAGGGACGAGGACGAGGTCGAGGACGGGAACGACGACTCTCGACTCTGCGATTTTCCGCCCTCGCCCTGCCCCTCCTCGTCCTGCTGCTCTCTGTGTATTTTTGTGTCTTGCCGTAGGAACTTTGCCCGCACTCCCCTCTTGCTCTCTCTCTCTCTCTCTCTCTCTCTCTCTCTCTCTCTCTCTCTCTCTGTCTCTCCGCCGGCTGTCCTCTCGCCGGGGAGAGAATATCATTGTTACGCTCGGAAAATTTTCGTTAACGCAAAGCGCTCGTGTTTTTACGCGTGCTCGTCTGCGTTTTGTTAATGCGCCCCGCCCCGAGAAGGGGCGGTGAGGGAGGAGGGAGAGGGAGGGCGCGACTGTTCCTTTCATCGGACAGCTCCGTCGCTCCGACACGGGGACGGAAGAATAGATTCAAATGTTACGCGAGGCGGCGCGAAGTCATTTCTAGCTACGTGCTGCGCGTTTAGTCAAAATGTTAAAATTCGTGCGGGGCGAACTTCATCTTTCACGCCGCCAGACAAGCTATCGGTATTCCGATCTCACGCGAGCCGGGATAATAACTCCCTCGGAGGCGCGGCTCTCGATTCTCGCGCGTTCGAGATGGATCTCACGCGTTTTGTGTATATTGTAAATAAACAAACACATCGCGTTTGCAATTTGGAGCGAGTGAAGGCGGAAGGCGCGGCAAGAACTACCTCGCGAAATATAATTCACCCGCGGAACTGACGGCAAGAGCCGGTATCTCGAAATTATTTTCGGAATCGCACAAATGAGAGCCTGGCGCAGCGAACAACCCGGCGCGCAAAACACCGCCCATTATCTCGCAGCTCGGCGTTACGTTTGCGCTCGCATTGTCAGCGCTCGGTAGAATTCACAAATGCAGTCTCTACTTACAGGTGACGACGAGATGAGCGCTGGCGCGGATCGCTGTGATCCGCCTGAAGCGGCCGACCTGGCACTGGTACTCTCCGTCGTCGGTCAAGGACGCGTCGGTGATCCTCAGGTTGAAGATCCCGGCGTTCTGATCGCCGACCAGGCTCAGCCTGGGATGGCCCACGATTTCGCCGTCTGTAATCAGAGCGCAACATCGGGATCGTTAGCGAGCGCGCGCGAACGTGGTACGGGTAGGCGCTGCACGCTCCGGCGCGGCGGCGATCGACCGGATCGGAATCGGCCGGCGTTTCTCAGCTCGCGGCTAAGAGCGTCGTAATTTACGAGCGGATACGCACAGCTAATATCTCGGCTTTAATTTTAGCCTCGTTTATTACGCACTCGCGCGCGTGCGCGTGCGCTTATTTAGTCGGCATGCGGAGCACTCTCGGCGAACGATGCGATTACGATTAGCCGGAAGTCGGTGAGATCCGGAGTAATTAACCGCTCGCTGCCTCCCTGTCGATAGCGCGGCTCATTCTTTTTTACAGCCGGGCTTAAATAATAAATCTACACCGCTGGTCCTCGAGGCGAGGTCATAAAAGTCCTTTTACGCCAAGTATCCGGACGAGCGCGGCCGGTACAGCGAATCTCGAAACTTTCTGTTCCCCGGCGTTATCGGCGCTGAAGTTTCTTACGTGCGCGTCGCTATACATTAAATATTAAATCTTGCGATTTATGCCCCGGAAATTATTAGCGACTCGTTAACGCCCGCTCTGCCCGGCTAGCCGAGCCCTGGCTTCGTCCGTTTTGCCGTCCGCTCGTCGGTCAGACCCGACAGACCACGAGACGATTCGGTAGTCTCCGGCCGGGGAAAATTTTTAACGAGATATAATCGGCTTGTTTCGAAATTTCCGCGACCCTCGCTCTTGGCAGGAAAGTCTCGCGTCTGTTTCTGTTCCGTCCTGTTTCCTCGCGAGCGCAGCGGTTTACGCCCGTCGAAAATTTGCAGCTCTCCTCTCCCTCGCCTCCCCCTCCGCCTCGAACGAGATATAAACCGAGGTTTGAAATTTAATAATGGTGCGTGTTGCGTGTTGCGTGTAATTGTAATAAGGCAATCATGTAAATCCACCCGTCGATCGGATAGGAAACAACAAAATAGCACGCGCGGCCCCCGATTAGCGCATTAATGTGCTCGCCGAAAATTGCTGTGTAAACCAATTCGAGGTAACGCGAAAACGTAACTTTCTATTGAAAATACAAACAGCCTTCGTTACGCGCGGTTTTAATTGATGGATTTAGACCCGGCCGATTTTCGAGGTAGCGTTAATTGCGCAAATTCCGAATTAACCTATTCTAGTCCAATTGAACGTGCGCGTATTTGTTCGACGGCGATAACGGACGCGTCGTTTCTTTTCCCCTCGCCTCGTTCGACCTCCGTCTACCTCGCCGTCGTCGATGTGTTTGTGCGATACGACGAGGGGGAAGCGTTGTTTTTCCGCAAAAATACAGGTATATAATCGTCGAAGCTTCGTGCGCGCCACCGCGAACACGGCTGACCTCGCCATATCTCGCCGAGATAAAGAACGAAACGGATGTGATGTTAAATTTATACGGCGCACGTGGCGTCGCGCAGCATTCATACGCTCCAACATGCGCGACAATAAAATCCTCGAAAATACCGTTAAAGGCTGCCGAATTCAAATTCCTCCGGAAAATATCGGCGAAAGAGATGAGGGGGGGGGGGGGATAACGAGAGGTGACCCACCGGTGAGACCAGCGATGAGATCTCGCTTGCGCAATAATCCCTTCCGGATGACGCACGAAACGTCGACCTTCTCCGAGGTCATTCCGCCGAGACACGGGGAGATGACCAGGGGGAACGACGGGCGGGATTCCCCGGGCGAGAGGCACGAGTCACGAGCGGATTCGCGTGGCGGTCTCTCTCTCGTCGTCTCGCGAGACGTTTGGCAAGAAGAAAGGAGAGAAGGAGGGGAGCGAGGAACGCACAATAAACGTTACACACAGTATTGTACTCACTCGAGTCTATGACGTAGACAAATCCGTCTTTGACCCATTGCACGATGCCGGCTCTGTTGCCCACCTCGCAGGGAATTACCACCTCGCCGCCCTCCAGGACGGAGCTGTTGCTCGGCCTAACCCGGAAATATTGTCCGACGTCGCCTGTAACAGAAAGATAAAGGTGATTTCGGGTCGAGGCCGAGCATCCCTTCGGCGAGGCCGACAAGCTCTCGCGTGTTCTCCCCTCCTCCCCTCCCCCCGACTCTCTTTACTCGAGAGCTGCTTAGTTAGCCGCAGGGGTAGTTTGCGCGACTGACAACAAAAGTGCGTCTGTGCGCGGTTTCTGTCTTTCTCTCTACGCTCACGCGTGGCGTAGATAGAGATTTACGTCAGCCGCTCGGAGGGAGAGTCGATATGCTCGCGTTCGGATAAATAGTTAAAACGCAACGGTCCCTTCGCTCTCGGGGAACTCGGGCTGGATTATCGGCTCGCGCGCGGCTACCCGCCTAATGAAGACGGAACGAAGCCGCGGAGGTAAAAATGCCGCGCCGTTTATACGCGTGCTCCGTCTTCTTAGCCTCGGCTGCTCAAGTCGCTGCGCGGAACAGGCCGTAACGGACGAGATTCGACTCCCGGCTGGGATGACGTATCGACGAGGACGAGGAATATAAATGGCCCCCGCCGGGGGTTGAACCGAGGAGAGACCGCCTGCCGGCCAGCAGCGCCCTTGCCAGCGTCTCGCGTATGAAATATTAATTATTACAGCCAAACTCGAAACATTCGTCTGTCATGGTCGACCTCTCCACGTGGACGCGAGCTGACCTTCAAGCGGCGAGAATAACAATGCCGGTCGGCCGAGAGAGAGAGAGAGAGAGACCTCGGCCTCGGAGAGGAGACGGCCTCGCGGAGTCTTATCTTTAGAAGTCCTCTCGGAGTCTTATCTTTAGACTGACAATTGCGGGAGCAGCGTGTCTCGTCGGACAAATTTTTTCCTTCCCGCCCAACGCGTTATACCACTTGCTCGTTTTCAATGTTCTCGGCAGAGGGATTCCCGACTCGCGCAAAGCCGCGCCCGCGGAGACTCGTGCGCCATTGTTTTCTGAGTGAGGGTCCTCTGTATAATGTGGACGACGCGACAATAAATCGATAATATCGATAATATCGAGGGGCAAATAACGAATATTTATCGATATTTTTTTGTCTCCGATAAAATCGACATATCGATTTGAATTTTACTGGTTTTCGTATTTTTCAGTTACTGCTCTGGGGGCCCGTTACGGCTTCTACGACCGAGATGAAAATTACAAAAGTGAGTGAATTCACTACAATATATATTATGTAATATGCTCGATCTCTAGTAAATTCGCTCACTTTTATCATTTCCACTCCAATCGTTGAACCGTAATAGATCTCCTGCTCCCGCATTTATGCGGTGATCTCCGGCAAATCACTGCGATTCATTATATATTTTCTAATAAGAATACGACAATAAATTGTATGAAGATAAAAATTTTTGAAACATCTTCTCAAATTTTTCGCGCATACCCTTTATATGCATAACCCCTATATGTATACATTTTTTTATATAAATATCGATATTTTTCAAAATTGTCGATATTACCGTTATCGATGGTTCTGAATGACGATAATATCGTTATCGATATTTTGAGAAATCGTTGCATCCCTACGCGAGTGACACGAACGGTGGCACGACTATCAACGGGATAAGACATCGTTTATCATGACGGATATTATAACGCGTCGTCTTCTCGTTACACGGGACGAGCGTCGATAGGCGGGCGACGATCTCAGCGCGTCATGACACGCACGAGCCCCCGCGGTATCTTCCTTTATCGGCGGGCTCGTGATCGCGGCGGATCGCGTGAAATGCGAACTGGCGAATCGCCGGAACCCCCCCCCTCCCCCTCCCTCCTCCCCCCCGACCTGGCGCTAAATCGAACACGAAGAGAGATACGCTCGTAAAAAAGCCATCGCGCATAAGCGTAAAAACGGACTCGCTTGGCATCTCGCGGGGGGGGAGGGGGGAACTCTCATGCGAGAGATCGATAACTATGCGCGTACATACACACGCGCACCCCATTGCACATGTACACGCGTATACGTGGCGAGAAATAACCGCGCGGTTATCAAGCATTTATCGCGTGACGGCACGTTCGCTTCCGATTCCGCCGTAATCCGCGGACTCGAGCCCGCACGCGCCCGCCGACCGTCTTGCTTAATTAACTTTAATTACACATCCGCGCGCGCGGCTCTTTCTGTTTCGTGTCGCTGATTATAACATTTTGAAGAGAGAGAGAGAGAGAGAGAGAGAGAAAGAGAGAGAGAGAGACGCTCTCGCAACTAACCGCGTCACGTACGAGCTCTCTCTCTCTCTCTCTCTCTCTCTCTCTCTTTCTCTCTCGTTGTCCGCCTCTCGAAACATCGCCGAAGAGGGAATCGGAGAACTAACTAGACTTGGCGCAGCGGGGTAATTTCTTATTTTTAATCCGACAGCGCAGAGTTCTAATTGCGCCTGGCATCACCGCTCGCGAGGACGAGGATGCTCCTTTGCGCTAATGCGGATCGATTAAGCGCACTACGAGCGGAGCAAAGAGAACAATAATTGTGTCGATAGCGTTGGGCTCGCGCGATCACGCGAGCTGCTAAGATCCTTTTCTCGTTCTCTCCATTCTACTATATTCACTTTTCTGTCTGTCTGTCTGTCTGTCTCTGTCTCTCGTTGTCTAGCCGATACTAGCTGGAAGAATCAAGGTAATCGGACAGTTTGGCCTCGATACGATCGATAATCCCCGCGCCGCGCGGTATTCCACGTTTGTGCCCACATCGCGCCGCACGAGAATGGGCCGCGTTACGCGATCACCGCGTGAATATTTCCCTTTGTTCCGCGCTGCTGTGCGCGTGTTGGGGGGGAGGGGGGAATTTATACGAATCGCGCTCAATTCGGATCAATCGCGCGTAAAGTGAAAGAAGAGCGAATTGTACGGGTGAAACTTCCGCGAATCATAATTCGGGTTAGCGGCCGATGGATGCGCTCGAGGCTGGAGGACTCGATTTATATTGGATCGGCAACTAAGTGATTACGGATTTTGTCGACAGATGGATTTTACACTTTCTTTTGTTTCGTTAACGTGTTCAAGGTACCTAACCTATATTTTTTTCTTATTGTTTGGACTTCTACTTTCATTTAGTACAAAAATGATATCGATTAGTTCTTTAGTTTTGTTTTTATCCCAATTTAAAAAAGGAAGAGCAAGACGTGCACTTCAGACATATTTTATTGTATTATTTCCGAAAAGGCAAGAACGCATCGCAAGCACACAAGAAGTTATGTGCCGTATGTGGGAATGAAGCCTTGAAAGAAAGGCAGTGTCAAAATTGGTTTGCCAGATTTCGTTCTGGTGATTTTTCATTGAAAAATGCTCAACGATCTGGCCGTCCAGTTGAAGTCGATGAGACCCGTATCAAGGCCATTATCGATTCAGATCGTCATAGCACAACACGTGATATTGCAGAGAAGCTCAATGTATCGCATACATGCATTGAAAACATTTAAAAAAGCAAATTAAAAATTTTGAATTTTCATTCTTATTTAAAATCCGCAATCACTTAGTTGCCAACCCAATAGCTCGCAGATCGAAATTGTAACGTCCGTAATTGTAACGTCCGACATCGGCTTTTGGCGACGGGCGGCGAGACGTGTGGAAGAAAAATTGTTTACAAAACAAATATAATACGTTTCACGGGTCGATGTGAAATTGTTCGAGTTCTCTGGAGCACCGAGATTAGGAGCATTGTAATATCCCGACCGTTGGAAGTTCCAAAAAAAAAAATAAATAAATAGAAAAATGTTACGTCGATGCAAAAATTAATACATATATGTATATATATATTTTTTTTTTCTAAACAATTGTTCCGCGCGATGGCTTATTGCGAAGAATCGATAACATACGCGCTGCAGCGGAAATAAAATAAAAAAGGACAAAAATGTCGATGTAGGTCATGTGAAGTGATTTACAATGAAATTGTTTATATTGGAAAGGCCATAGCTCACATTTTTGGCCAAATTGAATCAACAATGCATTTCGATACTTCAGCTCTTAAACTGCTGTGTTTGAAAAGGACGGCGTGTCACATTGCAGGGATACACGCTCCCGTGAGTTTTGCATTAGTTTTGGGAGCGGCGCGGCGAAATATCAGAAACGTATTAAAACGCATTAAATGAAATAAACTGTCGTATGAATGAGCTTCGTTCAAAAACGATCATTTTTTTTTTGTTTCAAAAGTTATGTTAACCAGTCTAACAGTTTAACACGTGCCGGGCTAAAGAAATATTTGCCCATCGCTCTTGTCCCTCCCCCCCCTCTCTCTCTCTCTCTCTGTTTAGTTGGAGTAAATTTACGCAATAAAGGGAAAAACGTTTCGGTAAATTTTTATCATCGGAATCGTTTTCATTTTATCATTTCGCGCTCTGTGAAAAATCGACGGAATCGTTCAGGGACGACGCTCGCGCTCGCTCACGTCCGGGCCGGTCCTTTTAAATTAAGAGCTTCTAATTAGGTTACCCGGCACAAAACCGGCTCGACAATGGCCCTCGAGTCGCGAAACAGTTCCGTAGATCCCCCAACGGTGTTGCGCGTTTGTATTTTTCAAAGAGCCATTAATCTGCCGCGAAATCTGCAGCATCCCGGATTGCATTTGATAGTGGATTTGTGATGACGCGCCTAAACGAAAACCCGTTCGCGCGATACACACACTTGGGATGACTCATCTGGGATGATCGTCCACAGTGAACCGTGTAAATTGGGTTTCGGCGGTCGCCTCCAGCCCGCGAATTTACGCAATCCCGCTCGTCCAAATGCAACGTCAATAAAATATAGGTGAGCTGGCCGACGTACGAGAGCGCGATTCGACGGGTGTCGTTTAATTTTGTAGCACAGGCCGGTTCGGCGGTCCGATTCGTCCAAAGGGATTCGATGATTGGGCGCGATTGTGGAGAACGGATTAAAACGACGCCGCCACCGCCACTACCTCCGCCGTCACTGACGCTGCCACCGCCACTGCCACCGCCGCCGGCCGATGGCTCGTGCGTATCGAACGAGAGTTCGAAAACAGTCGAGAGAGAGAGAGAGAGAGAGAGAGAG